GAGTAGTGATCTATCCACACTGGGAACATCTCAGCTTCATTATAATGTTCATAAAGGGACTGAACATAAGTCCTGAACTCCAGTAAAGTTTTATTGTAATTGTAAATTGCAGTATCGTAGTTTATTGTACAGAACTTCATGCACATTTTATCTCTAATGCCTGTTGGCTGGCTGAACTTTCCTCTCCCTGTGAGAAAAAAAAATAAATTTCTGTTCACCAGACTTTCAGTGTATGGGCATAGAAAATCAAAACTTCAAATTTTGCCTGCATGGAGTCATAGTCCCACAATAACACCAGCTTAGAAATCTGAGTCTAAGATAATAAATAGTCTTCAGCTAGACATATCTACAGATTTTATGCTTATTACAGATAATCCTGAGCATTTCCCTTCCTTTTTAGTTTATCATGGTCTATTTCCTTCTTTGGGTTCCTCATCAAAATTAGTATACGTTACCCAGCCATCATTAGTAATTATAGAGAATTATCCCTAAAATAATAGCTGCTGTTTAAGCATTAATTTAAATGACAATGGAAACAAGTCCATACTTAATAGTGTAACTGGCTTAAAAGGCGGGTGTAATTAGCTTATGATGTATAGAAAGAAAGTTAATTAAAAGTATAACAATGACATTAAATTACATGTTGAGTAGGAGCTTTAAATTTTAATTAGACTAAGCACACATGCATCCTTTTCCTTTTCTGTTCACATAGCCAGAGCATAATTCATTTTGACATCTCTGCAGTAACTGATGTGGTAACTACTAAACCAGTTCATTTTACTTCATCTTTTCTGTTTAGGGCATTTTTCTGAGAGATGCTCTGGTGCATCTTTGGATGTGGGATGGCTGGAATCCTATTTGAAACCTGAGAATGAACTGAATGATTTAAATTCTTTTAACTCTGGTAACATAGATATAAACTTCACTTGCTGGCAGCTCTGTAGGTAGTATAAATGAACTTAGAGTATTTTTCCTTTCGAGTGACATTGAATAATCTGTCATGAAATAATCCATTTCTCTGAAATTTTCTGTTCTCCTCTTTTACAACTCAGTTTTTCAGTGTATGTCTATCCAATAGATTTGCTTTTGTAAAAAACAAATCCCATGAACAACCAACCAAAAAAAAAACAAAAACAAAAAAACAAAAAAAAAAAGAAAAAAAAAAACACACCACAAATGAATTCTTCTGCTGGGGACTATTGGTGATAGAAAATGGTTTAACGTCTTTTATTCCGAATGGTCTGATACAGAAGATACTTGAAAGTTTGTATGCAATCTTCAAATCAATATTACCATGACTGAAGAGAGGCAGGAGATAGCAGGCAGGGGCTGGGAGCAGCTGCAGCCCCTTCTGTTCCCCCTTGGAAACCAAATGGGTGAAATGAGGAATTCTCAGCCCAGTTGCACTGGAAAAGCCAAATGCCTGTGCTGTGATGCTGCTGTGATCTGTCAAGGCAGGGAATTTCTGATTCTGACTGTCATGAATTCTGAGATAATGAATTTGGGTCTTTTGTTTTTTTCTGACATAAAAGAAGGGATAATAGGAAAAAAGAGGGAGTGAAAACAGATTTTGATTTGTTTACAATGTAAATAGATATGGATTTGGAATTTATGCTTTCTGTAACAGAATGTTAGGAGAGCATTGGAAGGAGTTATTTTTTTTTTTCTTTTTTCTTTTTCTTTAACTGATATTTTCCTTGTTTGGTTTGTCTGGGCTGAGTGCATGCAAATGACCAGATACTTTTGATGGTCAGAAATGCTTCCAAATTGTTTTGTAAACTTTAATGCCATCTGCTTATTACCTCTCAAAATGGGGGAGAAGGGTGAATTACTATATATTGCATGTATTTGCTGATAGTCCTTGATACTGAACCTTGCCTAGACTACCAGGACAGTCTTACCATATTAGGAATTCCCAGCTTTCAAACTTTTTCATAAAATTGTACAAGTTGTATTGGTTTAAATTTACATTTGGTTAATCTCTGTGTGCTTGGCAGTCTTATTCCTGAGGTACTTCCAGTTATGACTCTTCCATCTTACCATCTGATGTTTTGTGTGTGGATTAGTTTCTTCTACAGCTGGTTTCCAGAACAGTTTGATTTGTGATAATGAATATGTAGTGACTCAAAAACTATACTTTAAAAGCTGGGAGAAAGCACCAGCATGTAAATGTTCATCTACTCATGAGTCAGTTCAGCATAACCCTGTGGAAAGGTTTATGATCCGTTTTATAGGAGGACAATGTTTTATTGATTTACTTTACAACCAAAACAAAGCTATTTCAGTGTTGTTTTTGTTGTATTTAGAAAGTAGTATACTTATGTCATAACTACAGGACAAAAGCCATACACAATCATTTTTATTTAAATTCTGGTTTTAGGGCTGCCATTCCTCAGACCTTTTACATGCTTCAAGAGAAATAAAATCTGTCAATCTCTGATGAAATATTATAATGAAATGAAATCATGCCACTGGTCTTATTTTGACATTTTTACTTTTTAAAGCATGTTAAAATGTTTTTAAAAGAAATAGTGGATGTATCTAACCAGCATTACTGTAGAATTTAACCTTGAATATAAAATCTTTTATTAAAGAGGTGTGCTAATAGTTAACATCATCATTGCTGTCATCTTAAGTGTCTTCACTGCTAATTTCTAATAACACGCCAATATTATTTTTAGAATTATTATTTTTGTGCCTTGAGGTGAGCTCTTCAATGTTTGGCAATAACTACAGTATAATCATGAAACATAGATTATCAGAGTAGCCTATTAAAGAAATCTTCATTACAATAGTTTGTCCATGTTTTTCACACTTTGGTTATGTTTTTGCATGTTTGGCAACCTTGTTTCTGATTTGTGGTTGGAATTATCAAAATACAGGTAATTCATAATATCCATGATCAGTGGCCATTTCTTCAGGTTTGGGATAGAGAACAGTTTGGCAGTCTTTTCCAATTACAAGATTAGTGTTTGTGTCTAATTCTTCAAGCTGACCTTCGTTATAATCCATATAAATCCATAGAAACCACAATGTTCCTTTGTTAGTTTTGATTCATGCTTGGAGAACATGATTTTTTTTGTTCTTTCAGCCTTTTGGGTTCCAGGAAGATGGGATTTATGGGAATGTTGGCAATAATTGTTTGCTTGAAAGCTGTACTTTGAGCCCATTAACCTCCATTACACCTACAGAGAGACTTTTGCCTGGCATAGATTACATCTGTCAAATTAGTTTTCAGCTACTTTTGCTTTTTCCAGTTGTAAATAGGACAAAGCTTCCTTTGCAGTCTGTTCTTGAAAGTTAGATGTTTCAGATTTTGGTGCTGTAAGTATTATGAGCATGTACTTCTTTATTTATGCAATACTTAACCTTTCAAAGACAAGATGAGAACATGACATGGAGAATTCCAAGTCTAACGTTTAACTGTTATGCACCTTAATCAAACATATAACAGAAAAGATCAATAGACTTTTGCTCCAAGTTAACTTTGGTGTAAGTGTATACAAGTAACCAGGGAATAAAAAATATTGCATTACCAAAGAAACTCATTTACTTTATACTTTAAAAAAACAAAAACAAACAAACAAACAAAAAAAAAAAACACACACACAAAAGACCAGTAATAAAGATAAAGATCAAATTAAATATCTTTTGCACTAACCACTGGGAAACTTTTTTACAGTCCATAAATTTGCTTATTGGTTTTTAAAACATGTCAGGATGGTGGATTTTTTTTTCAGTAAGAAAATAAGTGCAGACACATTTTTCCTCCTACAGATCTTCTGCTCAGCAAAATGAGTGTTTGATTGAAACATATTGTCTGTTCTGTGTGCATAATATAAGCTATGCAGAATCTTTTAGTCGGGATTTTGCCAAAAGGCTGCTCAAAAGTATGTTTGAACCATGTGTCTTAGTTTTTATTATTTGAACTTGAAGTATGCAGCTTTTGTCAGGTTCTGCTGAGGTGGGATCATTTTCTATGCACCTCATATTTCTACTCAAAGGGATTTGATTCTTGTTGTTTGGCTGTGAAGAGAAAAATCATCAAGCTGCTTAGTGGTACAAAACGCAGCCATTCTCAGCACTTGGATGGTAGCAGCCCTCAGACATGTTGTGCTTTTCACAAAGTACCTGACTGTTCCTACTCAGTGTTGTTGCCTTTATCTTGAAGTCTTCTATAGCTTTGGTTTGATTGTGTGAGAAGCTGCCTATCCTTCCTTGTTCTTACCATGACAACTGAAGGCAGTTGGCATGTCCAAAGTGACTTTCCTTATTCCTTCTTGTCTGCCGTAATGACAGGTTTTCCTACAGCAAAGATCTTTGGCTCTGAAAGTTTCCTGGTTGCTCTGACAAAGCAATTACAGCCTTTTCACTAGGATGTGGTACCCAGGAGAGGTTTTTGTCCTCAAGTGTTTACTTGAAAAAGATGGCAAAGTAGGAGAGGACAATTTATTTGAAGGAATTCATTTCTTTTCTTTTCTGAAAGCGTAAATATCTCTTTATTTAAACTGCACTGTAACAACATGCCATGAGAATACCCAAGCTCAGTTCATGGCAACAGATCAGGACCCTGGCACCAAAGCTGGGGTCTGCAGCAGAGGCTGAGAGAACTTCTGTGAGAGTCAACTGGAAAAAGATTTCTGCAATTAAAAAATTTTCTTCTATTTGTGTTGTCACTCTATCATGTGCTTGCCAAGCCATAGTTAGCGTTGTGGGATTTTTTTATTTTATTTTTTTAATAAACAAAAAATGCAAATGCCTTTGGTTGAAACTCAGCAGTAACATTATACTCAAAATCTTTGCGTTTAATAAACTTTTTGTGTCCAGGCTAATACTTGCAAGGTTTGGAGTGTTTGGGAGTACTGGGGGCAGGTCTACTGTGTATTCTTTTTATTTATGACTTTTTAAAAATAAAATTATTCTTAAATTATATTAGTGTATGGCAATTATTTGTAGTATACTATTGCTAGCAGACGGCTGACCTCAGTTTTCTCTTGCAGCTGCACCCTGAGTGTTACCCTGGAGCAGGCAATCATTCTGGCCCGGAGCCATGGGCTCCCACCTCGCTATATCATGCAAGCTACAGATGTCATGCGCAAACAGGTAAGGCACTCTCTGTGGGTAATACTTTGCTGTTTCCTAGCAATCCTTGACCAAACAATTATAACCCCCATCTTATCATTATGTTACTGTCTGTGTGAGTTTTCTTAGCTTGGTATTTTTGCTGTGTTTTGATTTTGTTTTATTCTCTTTGAATTTTGACTCAAAGGTTTTTTGTTTGTTTGTTTTTTCATGATGGAACAGGCTGTTTTTAACCAGATGCTTGCTTTCTGTGCATGTGTAAATGGTTCATAATTTTTACAGGGTTATGATTTTACTGAAGGTTTTTGTATAGTAACTGATATGGTATTGTCTTCAGAGTAGTCTGAGAATCTTTATTATAATAATTATCATCCATAAAAATAACGTAAGACCATTAGCTATTGTTGTTAATAAAATTACTTATTCTGAATGAAGGGGAAGGGCAGGATGGGAGTGGAAGATAAATACTGCGGTTCTTAACTTTGCAGGCAAGATTCCCAAGGACATTGTGCTTGTTTCAAATTGTGTATTTCATGTTTGTCATAAGAGAATATTAGGATTTAGAAGCTGTTGTGAATGGATAACCAGCTCAACATGACCTCTTAGTGCAAAGGCATGACCAAAAAATGCTGGATTTAAAGGAAATATCAACTGCAAATGGAGAATACACTCTACCCTATAATGGAACAGCTCCTAGAATATCTTGTTATCAGATAAATGCTTTCAAAAGCATGATTGGAGTCTTGGAAAGAGTTCAGAGTAGGAGCATGAATGGTCCAGAGGTTGTTAGACAAGCCTTATGAAGTGAAGATTAAAGAGCTCGACCTATTCAGTTGATCAAAGAGAGGTTGAGTGGGTGGGGGCTTAATCAGTATGTGTGCATGTGGAACATATATCTCAGCCTGTGGTAACTTTCAACTGTATGACAAAGGCATAGCAAGACAGAGGATGCAGAAGTCAAAGAGAGACAAATTTAACATTGAATTAAAAGGAAAAAGATAATGTAATACTGGAATAATTAATCACAGATAAAACAAGATTAATTATATCTGGCTTTTGATTTGTATCTAGTTTCATTATTTTCATAAGTTCTGATATATATTCTGTGCAGAAATCACAGTTTAGTTATGGAAATGATTAAGCAATGGTATGGTATTTCTAACTCATCATAGATAGAAGAATATCTATTCCTGGCCACACCTTTGGTTTGTTAAAGCAATCATGTAGATATTTCTATATTAGTTGAGATATAAATCTCAAGCCATATATTTTTATTTTATCTTATATGTAAGATTTGCTGCCTAACGTGGGTACATCTGAATAATTAGACACATTCCTGTTTGTATATGGCTTTCACTTTATTTAGTACATAAACTAAGTTTTGAAGTGTATAAATACCCTCAAGGTTCTTGAGTCATGTAGGTCTGTTAGGAATTGTACCCTTAACTTGACATTAAAAGAAGCTAATGCTGTACAAGGATAAACTTGCATTTATATGTTGATGTGTTTACCCCTGAAGTTCTAAACAAAAATCAGGTTTGGGTATTTTACAATGAAAGAACCTGGACATAGAGTTGTGATTATGTCTGCTTGTGTTCTGTCAAACAGCACATTTTCAATGTACAGTTCTAGAAAGTTATCAGAAATGCTGATTCATATGTGGGTATTCTGCAACCCACTAAATGAAAATGAAAGACAAAATGTAAGCAACTTGCTAATGGTTCAGAGCTGCTATAGCTGTACTAAGACTTGCTCAAAAAGAGATGTAGAAAAAAGCCTTTAGTGGGCCTACATTCTCTGAAGTAAAACAGCAGGTGATCAATAGCTGTTAAAGATACCAATATCTCAATACCACCCACAGACACTGTAAAAGTCTGCTGGTATATCAAGCCAGAATTTGTTCACACATCCTTCCTCTTGCAGGAAACTGCTATGGCATTTAATAGAGTAATAATCTTTTGTTGTAATTTTAAATCAGTCTTGGAGTTCTGTAGTAGAAATATAACCCTCCATTAAATTCTAAATGTTTTGGAGTAATTCCAACAGCACTCCATTGTGTTTTCTAGAAACTTTCTGGATTTAATGCTTAAAGCATCTGTAGGATTTAGCTGTCAGGAGTGTAATGCAGGCCATAAAACTTGGAGGCGGAAAAAAGAGACAATAACAAAAAACTTCTTGGGGTTTGTTGTGGAACATCTAGGTAAAGACAATACATGTATCTTGTCTTAGTGTGTATATATCTATGAAAGACTTTTGATATCCCATTTACAACCTGATTTTTATTTTATTTTGAATAAAGAGAGACTAACCAGATGGGGGTACAAATGAAAGGACATCTATTTCATCTGTTATTCTGGAGAAGCCAATAATGTTAGTTCCTAGCAGCATCAACTTTACACATAGGCATATTCTTTCTTCCAGAAAGTGATATCTTTTCCAGTTTGGGGCACTAGTACTGAATAACTGGAGACACCCAATTGAATGGATGACCTCAAGAAGTGTGTTTTTCTTTTAAATTGAATGAGGTCATGGTCATGTTTAAAAAGACTTGTAATAGCCCTGACTGTATTGGAACAATTTTCGAAGTAATTGCCCTTGTCAGTTATAATTAGGTATTTGCAAGCACCTGTTCTGCAAGAACTAAAGAAAAGAGACCAGCTTATGAGAGTTGGTATGCGCTTGGGTGTGTGGGATGGTTTTAGTTAAGTGACTTCCTCTTTTTCATTTGCTGACTCAGTCTAGATTGATGTTTTGTCAAAATTTTTATTTTTAACATCACTACCACCATTTACAAACTTTATTTACTCGTGTATGTGTATTCACATAAACACCTGTACCTATAAAATACTATATAAAGCACACTGACGTAAGTGTGTCTTCAGGATACACCAAAAAGTGTCAAAGATGGAGAGGCCTAGAAAAGGAACTGCAGGAGGGCACAGGGCTATAGGAAAGAAAGGTAACTAAAAAGCTGATGAGCAGAAAAGGCTAACAGAAATTGTTATCTTTTAAGTGAGTGAGGAATTTTTCCATGCCTCTCCAGATTACTTTCCTCAGAAGTATGATAATAGCACCACGTTTTGAATAGTTCTCATCAGAATGATGCTGATTTAGAGCTCTTTGAGTGGGCCATAAAGAGAATCTATTTTCTTTATGTTACTGGTTTTTGCCATCCTTAAATTAGTGTGTAGCTTGAAAATAAACCTATTATTTTTTTTCTCATGGCAATAAGAATACTTGTTCCTATAAAAGAGTCCAGATTAATGGTAGCATTTCCCCAGAGCTAATGACATTTTTCATGAGTGGTCTGGCAGTACTGGTACACAGAGAAAAGCATTCTGCCACAAAACAGAACAGGCTTTTATACATACATGAGACAAACAGTGTCAATATTTACATTGTTACAGGTATTAGAATAATAGGGGAGGACTATAAATTAGCAGTATATTGAAATAAAAATGGTGTAATAGTGCTCAATAGAAACTAGGAGATGGCATGTAGGAAGTTGATAGCAATTCTTGTGTGCTTTTCTTCAAAAGAAGTAAGAATCTGGTGGTTGTAAGGAACGTCTGATTTGTACTCCTGCTAAACTATAAATTACATGGTTGTATAAAGCTAGGCTCCTTTTTAAATCAACACATTTGATTTATTATGTGAGCAAGATACTAAAATTTATCTAGTGAGTGATGTAAGTAAAAATAGGCTTTTTTTTTTTTTTTTTTTTTTTTTTTCCTTAGAGGTAGTCACAGCACTGAAGTTCAGGATCTACTTGTGATTAATTTTGATAGTTTTCCCATTTATATGTATATTTTTGTTCTCAGTTATGTTAATCGTATACCAATCTCAGCCACTAGCAGTCTGTTATGTTTTTTTTTTATTATGATAAAATTTTACATTATGGGACTGAGGAAAGTTCATTGAAGGTGATGAGGGTCTGAACTCATCCTGTCCAACTTTTTAGCCATCAGCTTTACTTATATAAGGATATCATGTAGGACAGTGACAAAGACTTTGTCTCCAAATTGGAGAAACATGGATTTGACAGATGGACTGTTTGGTGAGTAAGGAGTTGGCTGGATGGACACACTCAAAGAGTTGCAGTCAGTGGTTCAATCTCCAAGTGGAGATCAGTGAGAAGTGGTGTCCCTACGGGGTCAGTATTGGGACTGGTGCTGCTTAACGTCTTTGGTTACATGGACAATGGGATTGGGCACACAGTCAGCAAGTTTGCTGATGACACCAAGCTGTGTGGTGTGGTGAGGGAAGCTGGAGGGAAGAGATGAACAGTGCTTTCCAAGCCATCTATTCCAGTGTGTTTTTTTTTTTTCTTTCTTTTTTCTTTTTTTATCCTTTGTATTCTACTATCTTACTTGGTGCCTCATTTAAGTATTTTTTTTCTTCTCCTACAGTTTACGCCTCCTGTTTTCGGTCCTGTATGCTGGGAATTTAGAGACTGGATTTAGCTCCCCCTTTAGCTGTAGACTTTTGGTATTTGATGGTCTTTTCCCTAGTAAACTAGGGAAAAATCATGTTACCAGTGCAGTAATCATGTTACCAGTGCAGCTCAGTTTTGGATGTAAATTGTTGGTTTCACGCATTTTTGTTTGTATATATTTTTAAGTAATGACATAACTTGATAGTCACTTCCAAAGAGGAGAGTTATTCTGGGACATTGACAATATGTATTGATTTGTTATAATCAAGTGTTAAATTCATCTAGAGAGTTCAGAGAACTTTCCAACTTGAGCTGAAATTAATGAAACAAACTTGTTACTTTTTTTTTTTTTTTTTTCTCACAGGGTGCAAGAGTACAAAACACAGCCAAGAATTTAGGAGTGAGGGATCGAACGCCACAATCTGTTCCAAGGTAACTGATTGTTTGTGTCCTAGATCATGACCTCGTTTGTGCCAAATTCAGCTTCAAAGAGGACAGACAATAAGCATTTACTACATTGTGTAGTAAATTGTAAGATTTTGCTTTCAATGTACTTAGAGTCAATTACATTCTCAGACATATAGTTTTAATTAAAGTAATTAGTTGCAGAAGTTTAGGCTATGTAGCATTTTGAAACCTGTTCATTTTAGAAAAAAGAATGAAATCTAGTTCATGTTAATTATGAAAACACTGGGTTAAGTCCTTCATCATTTGTGATATTTAGTGGGTTTTGTGGAAATATTCAAACGAAATCCATTACACTATTTTAATGTAATACTGTACTGCAATATCTCAGCAAAACCATGTTATAGTTGCTTTTAGAGATGATGTAATCTTCCTTTGTCACTTTCTGAAACATCCATTAGAATGAAAAATGCGTGTGTTCTATATTTATCCAGCTTTTTAATTCTGTGATGGATTGCAGGTACCTGAAATGTTTCTTAACAAGCATGATACTTTTAAATAAAAATAACAAAACAATGTTTTGAATTTTATCTTAGTGATTTTATTAATCCAATTTAAACTTTTTATTCTTCCAATTTAAAACTTTTTTTTGTTGATTAGTGATAGCACATTGAATGAACTAAACAGATATGTGGAATACATTATAGACTCATTGTGGTACTAAAATTTCAGTAAGGAAACACTGAATTAGTAATAATACCTTATACAGATAACCATGTGAATGAATGTATGTACTATCCAAAACCTTACAGAGAGACTGTCTTCCGGATTCTGACCAGTAGTACTTGGGAACTATTTTTTCTCATGCACTTTGCTTCCCTTTTCTGAGGTGTCCCTGTTTCTTCCAGTAGAGAATCAGACAACTGTTCATAATTTATTTATAACAAGTAACTGCACATTGTGCCTTGACCATGCTGGATCTGATTCTAGAAAGGGAGCATACCTAAAGTGAAAGTGTACAAGTAAATGATGAGTAAAATCTGCATAGCAGCATTTGTTAGGGCATATATGTGTCATGGTTCCCCCATAAAAAATAGAGTAGATGGACTCCTCCAACTCCCTCTGCCACCTACGGCAGTGAGACAGAACCTGACAGTTGAGGGGCTAAGTAGTCTTTTAGGAAATATTTATTCGTATTTTAGCTGCTGTGGTGGTTTTACTCAGCTGGGCAGCTGAGCTCCACCACAAATGCTCTCTCACTCCCCTCCTCAAAGGGAAAGGGGTAGAAAATACAATACAAAGGGTTCAAGGGGAAAGATAAGCACAGGGAGATCACTCAACAGTTATTGTCATGGGCAACACAGACTCAACATAGGGAGATTAGCTTGTTAATAATAGGTAATAAATTTAATTAGAGTAATGACAAAAACAAACAGAAACACAAAAACACCCCCATCCACCCTCTTCTATGTCCTGGGGCCTGTTCCTGCGGGGGCTCTCCATGGGCCGCAGCGTCCTCCAGGCCACATCCACCTGCTCCACCGGGGGCCCCTCCACAGGCTGCAGCGTGGAGATCTGCTCCATGTGGGACCCATGGGCTGCAGGGGGACAGCCTACTCCACCTCCAACTGCTGCTGCTTGCCTGGAGCACCTCCTGTCCTCCTGCTGCACTGACCTGAGGGTCTGTAGGACTGGTTCACATTTCTCACTCTCCCACCTGCTATTTCACAGCAGTTTTTTTCATTTTTTTATATCTGCGCTCACAGAGGCACACACATCACTTACTGGCTTGGCTTTGGCCAGTGGCGAGTCCCTTTGGAGCCAGCTGAAACTGGCCCATATCTAACATGGGGCAGCTGCTGGACTCTCCTCACAGAGGCCACCCCTGCAGCCCCCTGCCACTAAAACCTTGCCACATAAACCCATTACAGCTGCTTTCTGAAAAGTATTTTGAGCCTCACAAATCATTGAAGGAAATCTAATTATCATATAAGCTCTAAGAATTCAAGCTCTTCCTACATGTATTTATTTACAGACTTTTTTCAAACAGATCCAATTTAGATTTAACCTTCAGATAGGGTAGATGATCCATATTTGTGATCCATGTTAAGAAAAGGAAAGCATGTAATAGCAGTACAGGTTATCTTGGGCTTGAGTGACTGTAATTAACAATGGCTAGAAAACAAACAAACAAACCAATAATATAATGGTTTATTCAAACAGGACTAATGCTCTACTTCCATGCAAACCAAAGAAGATAGACCAAGGCAACCAGTCACACTGGCCACCAAAACTTTGGCAGTGACCATGGGTATTAATAAATACCAAGAACACTTTTAATGTTTGGCTGAGTCAACAAATAATGCTAGCACCAGTACCAGCACTTTTTGTTCATTTATGCCATTATAAAAATTTCAGAAGTAGTTTCAACCAGCAAGCTCAATGCTGAAAAACAGCGTTTGCAGCAATCTGCTGCCCAAAGACAGAGCTCTCCATCAAAATCTACAGGCAGATAGATGAAATAAGGTCCTACAAAAGTACTGATTCTAGAGCAAAATCGTCAGCAATAAAGTCATTGACCTTACTTGTAGATGAGGGAATCCCTTTTCATGGTAGTAATTAGCTTGGAGGTAATCCAGGACCACACCTGCCTGACCAACTGTCTTGCACTGGGGGAACCTAAGGCAGTAAAATAGTATTTTATGCAGTAAAAGCTGCTTGTAGTCTTTTCTTTGAACAACACAATTTTGGCTTTAATCATACTCCTTCTTCATGACAAAATTCTGGAGAGAGTTATCTCAAATCAGGTCTCATTCTTTTCTCACCTATAAATGAGAAAGCATATATCAAGATACAGAGCTTTTTGTCATTAAGGGAAAATCTATGTTCTAAAAAAGGAAAAATAGAAGCAGTTGGCCGTGAGACATTTATTGGCTTTGCATCAGTTGAGAAAAGATCACCACTTTCCGGTTGATGCTCTCACAATATAGCAATGAAAAGTTGAAGGAAGATTATGAGATGGCTCCAAGAACACAGAACAGATGGATGAATCCAACACACAAGTAAGCAGCAACAGCGATGTCATTGGAATATCTCACTGGCCTCAGGGCTTGTGGCATTTAATGTATGAATAAAGAGAGAAGTCAAGTATGTCAGAATAGTCATTAACACAATAATACTGTGTTTTGCAATTCTTTGATACTCTGGCTATAGGCTGGCCATTAAAGTGTGGTGACATTTCACATTAAAGTGAAGTGTCAAGAACACTTCATTTAAGTGTTCTTGACAGTGTTCTCAGTCCTCTGAAGTTGCCAGTTTTCTGTCTTTTCTCAGCTGATCTGTTTGTACCATCTCAGACAGTTGCTCCATATATATTGACCCAGAACAGTCTGTGATCAATACCATCTCTAGAGATTTATGCAGCATCATTGCTAGTTTGCTTCAGAATTCCCGTGTTACCTGCTCTGAAGGCAGGTGACCTTAATGATTACCATTTAACCTGAAGAAGGCACAGACCTTGGTACCTGAGGCTGAGCTTTTCTGCACACTGTACCATAGAAGTTAGATTTTGCAAAAACCTCATCAGGAGCTAACCCTGTCACAATTACTGACTTTATAAGATTCTGACAGTCGTTCTATCTGTCTTTTGTTAGCTTTGAGTTTTACTACTTTATTACGCTGGTAGAAACAAATAACGCAAATAGGCCTTGTTTTACCTTTCTCTGTGTACCTGGCTGCATAAAGATCAGGGCATCTCATTTTCTCCTTGGTGTACAAACAGGAGTGATGTCTGTTGGTTTATATATAGCCCCTAACAAATATATTGGCATCTGCACCAACACTTATGTGACCTTAAATAACCATAGAATCACAGAATTTCACAGATTCACAGAATCTCTAGGTTGGAAGAGACCTCAAGATCATCGAGTCCAACCTCTGACCTAACGCTAACAGTCCCCACTAAACCATATCCCTAAGCTCTACATCTAAACGTCTTTTAAAGACTTCCAGGGATGGGGACTCCACCACTTCCCTGGGCAGCCCATTCCAATGCCTAACAACCCTTTTGGTAAAGAAATTCTTCCTAACATCTAACCTAAAACTCCCCTGGCACAACTTAAGCCCATTCCCCCTCGTCCTGTCACCAGGCACGTGGGAGAATAGGCCAACCCCCACCTCACTACAGCCTCCTTTAAGGTATCTGTAAAGAGCAATAAGGTCGCCCCTGAGCCTCCTCTTCTCCAGGCTGAACAAGACCAGCTCCCTCAGCCGCTCCTCGTAGGACTTGTTCTCCAGGCCCCTCACCAGCTTCGTCGCCCTTCTCTGGACCCACTCAAGCACCTCGATGTCCTTCTTGTAGCAAGGGGCCCAAAACTGAACACAGTACTCGAGGTGCGGCCTCACCAGAGCCGAGTACAGGGGGACGATCACCTCCCTAGCCCTGCTGGTCACAGTGTTTCTGATACAAGCCAGGATGCCGTTGGCCTTCTTGGCCACCTGAGCACACTGCTGGCTCATATTCAGCCGACTGTCCACCATCACTCCCAGGTCCTTCTCTGCCTGGCAGCTCTCCAACCACTCATCTCCCAGCCTGTAGCTCTGCTTGGGGTTATTGCGCCCCAGGTGCAGGACCCAGCACTTGGCCTTGTTGAACTTCATGCAGTTGACCTCAGCCCATCGGTGCAGCCTATCCAGATCCTCCTGCAGAGCTTTCCTACCCTCAAGCAGATCGACACATGCGCATAGCTTGGTGTCATCTGCAAACTTACTGAGGGTGCCCTTGTCCAGATCATTGATGAAGATGTTAAAGAGGACCGGCCCCAGCACCGAGCCCTGGGGGACGCCACTAGTGACTGGCCTCCAACTGGACTTGACTCCATTTACCACGACTCTTTGGGCCCAGCTATCCAGCCAGTTTCTAACCCAACGAAGCGTGCGCCAGTCCAAGCCAAGAGCAGCCAGTTTCATGAGGAGAATGCTGTGGGAGACGGTGTCAAAAGCCTTGCTGAAGTCAATGTAGACCACATCCACAGCCTTTCCTTCATCCACCAAGCACGTCACTTTGTCATAGAAGGAGATCAGGTTTGTCAAGCAGGACCTGCCTTTCATAAACCCATGCTGACTGGGCCTGATCGCCTGCTTGCCCTGCAAGTGCTGCGTGATGACTCTCAAGAGGATCTGCTCCATGAGCTTCCCTGGCACTGAGGTCAAACTGACAGGCCTGTAGTTTCCCGGGTCTGCCCTCCGGCCCTTCTTGTAGATGGGTGTCACGTTTGCTAGCCACCAGTCAACTGGGACCTCCCCCGATAGCCAGGACTGCTGAAAAATGATGGAAAGCGGCTTGGCCAGCTATGTTTCTTGGCCACCATGTTTCTGAATCTTCCATATGACAGTGGGGAAGAATCCAAAGATCTTCAGAATGCATTATGCTGGAGATTTGAAAGCAGGTTTGCAATTGCTGTCTGGCAGAAGTGGTGTTCCTCATTCTTACTATCCAGAAACAGTACTGCTTGCTAATCGCTTCCAGTGAGACTTCAGATAAAAGTTATGTAGCCCACCACAGTGGTGTGTTGTCAGTGTCCCAAGGGTTTTAGCTTGCATGGAAAATGAAATCAGAGAACAGCAGCTATCCTGCCCTGCTTTTGCATAGCCACAGAATGCTTTATCTGACAAGATGTGTCTCGATATTGAAAAGACCTGCAACTCTCAAAGGGCAGCCATACAGACAGTGCTTCAAATACCTTCAGTGGCAGCGTCATGCCAAGAAAGCACCAGCCTGTTGATCTTGAATTGTTTGTGGAGCTCAGCCACATGTCCAGGTTTTTGTTTTCTTTGATTTGTAGTATGATTTTGAAATTCCTGATTAGTTAAAATGTGGTGATATAAATTAATGTGATGTTTAGGAGGCAAATTGGCAAAATATGCTTGGAAAACTCCAAGCATCTTAAATATCTCTAGCCATCAGGACAGTGGATGATGATTCATAACCCTGCTTGTAGCCAGACCTACCAAGTCTGTTATTTATTTTGTGTTAGCATTTCAATATCAAGTACTTTTCATGGTAAGTATTAATGCACATGCTGTATCATTGTCTCTTCATTTGGTTTCTGATGCTTTTTTTTTTTTTTCTGCCTGCCACACCGAACTCAGTCTCTTTACTTTGTGATACTTCCGTGATACGCCTTTGGCGATATTCATTTCCATGAGGAAAGTATATAAGCTCCAAATGAGATCATGTCTACTGCTGGTTTTAATTGCTGTTATTGTAGGGGAGATACTGTATGCTGGTTATACTTATAGAACAGAGATGCCTCTTTTAATGAGCCTGAGATCAGAAAGACTGCCATTTTCAGTATTCCTAACATAAGTATAGCATTTCTAACACTTGCTAACAACTAAGTCCATGCAATGGGCTTTAATAGAAATTCAGAAGCCTTTATAAATGCATTGGTAAGAGCACTAAGTCTGCACAATGACGTCGTATGTCTGATAACTGTCTTGGGTTCTTGGACATCGAGACTGAATAACAAAGTTTTTATAGGAAACTGTGTTAGATTGAGTTCAGATTCAATGCCAACACAACACCAAATTCAATGCCAACACAACACCAAAGTGGAGGCAATTGCATTAACCATGCAGCTTTTCCAAATTACAGATTCACAACAACTGGTAATTGGATTAGTGAAATTTAGCTTTCAGGGGTCTTATGGTGCAGTATTATGAAAGCTTGACTAAACTGGGATATCTTTATAAGATTACTTATAGATGTGTGTTTTAATAATATCACTGTCAATGTCAACTTCATGCTCATGAATAAGATTTTACTGGTTTTTATAAGAATGTTACTAAACTGAATTCAGTATGTCTTGTTTTGCAGAAGACTTAGATTTAGTTTGTAATCCTTAAATTTACCTTCATATTCCTTACATTTTCCTTCCTTTTAATAATGACCAAGCTCCCAGAGTAATGATTGCTTTTTTTTTTTTTTTTTTTTTTTTTTGTCAGATTATACAAGCTCTGCCAACCACCACCACCAGCTGGAGAAGAATGAGGAAAACAATCAAATAATGGCTTTTAGAACACTGGGACTGTGTGACAAAGTCTAACTGCACTATAGCAGTATGTGCTTGGGCCTTTGATAAATGAAAAAAAAAAATATATATATATATTAAAAAAAAAAAAGAACTTTACTCAGGATACAAAAAAAAAAAGAAAGAAATACCCTATATATATTCTCTATTGCCATTGCAAAATGACTTCCGAAAAGCATTTCTGGAATCTGTGCACTCCAGCCTTGTGCTAGTAGAACAGGAGTCTTCCTTGGGAATTTTACACTGGAATCAGGTTCATTTTGATTTGTCTTTTTTAGCCACACAATAGGTATACACAGCCAGCAGCTTCAAAACGAATGTCTTGTTCTGAGAGAATGGTTTCACTTGTACACTACACAGGATATGTTCTTGTGGAAGGAATAAAAGCCTGGATAAACTAGACTTTATAATGAGCATGCACTTCATATGGGGCTCTTTGCACTGATAATACTTTTTTTTTTTTTTTTCTTGTCAACATCATAACTTCTGAGAACAATGACATTAATGTTTCCAGGATATAATGTAAGCGAGGTTGAAGGATTAAAACTCATCTCTGAACTGTGCCTAATGGCTACAGACTGCATCTATGAACATTTGCTTGTAATCACAGTAAACTCAGCCACATCTTAAGTAGCCCATTGTCATATTCTTTTCGAGGGAGTACATGTATGGCATATGAGGTGATGTTTTACCCTTTTTCAGTTGCCATTATATTTAGATTGAATTTCAGACTGTCTAGTGGATGTTTCACTTTATTGCGCCTCTGCATTTCAGAGTTTTTCAAAGCTGTGTGTGTTCTTGTACAGTATTATACTAGCAGGTCTGCATAGTGTGAGGATGAGACATGAGGATGTTGTTATGTTTAACTGGAAATGTCTGTATTTTAAGTTGAAATATGGTTTGGGGTTTTAATGTCTTTGTCCACCATTTCCCTTCTTTTGGTCATACTGGTCTGTATAGCATTTCAGTTCTTTCTTGTGGGGTGGCCATAATTGTTACAGATATATTTAAAACTGTACTGAGTTTTAGAGGGCCCATAAAAATACATATATGCATTTGGCTGTTCTTCCAGCCCAAGTATTTTCAGAGGAAATGCCCCTAAATGAGGTTTAATGTGTGAACATATTAAATCAAAAACTATATTATGAAATAGTTTTACTTGTAGCAGTAGCTAGCTACACATTCCATTAGAGCAGGGCATATACTGCCTGAGTACAATTTATTTTTTGTATAACAACCATCTATAGTTATGCTATAGCAATCACTTCACAGCCAAATTTTTGCATATTGTATAATTATTTATGAAAATTTCAAGAAATATATTAATCCACAATGAAGTGATGATTCAGAAGAAGATGTACTCTTGCAAAGAGTGTTCTTTACATAGGAAATCTAGGGGACTTGTAACTTTTCTCCAAAGGAGGAATTAGGGCTCCTACCTTTTTCAGTATTCTTAATGTTTTTACACAGACTTTAACTTTGCTAAGAAAATAAGTATTTTTATATATCCACAGAAATATATGTCTGCACATATATTTTAGTTTTAAGATGTGTATATGTAGTCATATGTAGTCATATAAATTACCATTCAAATCACAAATATAGAATGTTTTCCTTAAACTGTGACAAAAACATGCAATAATGAACACTTCAGTAACAATTTCTCCATTGTGCTTTGAAGTTTACACTCCTTAGTATTTGTTGGAAGAGTGGGACTTTAATCTTTTTGTGTAGAAAGAAAAAAAAAATAACTTAACCTTTCTGTCTAGGATGACCTAATGCATAAGAATGAGTCATGAGTTATAGAATTGCTATTCCAGTCAGAATCTCATAGTTTTCAATGTGTTTTATTCAGACAGGCAGTATTGGCTAGGGTAACTCCCGCTCCAGGCAGAAGTGCCAAAAATGTTTCAGTTTCTGCTTGTTCAGACATCAGAAGTACACAGAAGCCATAACCTGCTGATGCCTAGGTTGGTGCCACAGACCCCGTGTGGTGGTGGTGTGGTCTGAACTGTGCTGTCATTCACTGCTGTGAGTTCAGATCTTGATGTGAGATTTGCCCACATGAATGTTTAATATTATTTTATTTTATTTCTTTACTATGATGCAAGTCAGCTCTTGGCTGAATAGAGCTACTAATCCTGTATAATAAGATAAATTACACAATCTGGAGGATAAAAATTGCTGCGTGCACACGTTACTGTAATTGGCTGTATCACTTTTTTTTATCTCATTGACAATTGTACAAATACAAATATGCCAAAACAATCTCCTGTATAACATGGCAATTGTCTACTTTGTTTTACTCTTGAAAGCTGGAGGTAATTGACATTGGCAACTACTGAGGGTCAAATAGTTTTGAGCCACTCCCTGGACCAGATTTTTCACCTATTGATTCATGAGTGTGCATCAGACAGAAATCTTGGCCTCTAATAACATTGGATGGGCATATAAGAAGCTCATTCATAAATTGTAAATGTACATACGTTCATGACTACAGCTATTTCTCCTGATTGGTAACAAGGTGGTAATAAGGTGTATATATTCTTTATGCAATGCGCAGACTTAAAAAAACTAAACAACACAATTCTCCACACTATGTTTATACTTTTATAAACTCTTAGACTTAGAGATGATGGGAAGAGATGGCCAAGAGTGGTGATTTACAAGAAGTGTAACACCCATAGCTTGTGAAATCTTTACCTCTGCTGCAACAGATTATGCAGCCCATTTTTATGAGAATGTGTTGCACTGGTTTGGCTTAGGGAAAGCATTCTATATGTAATTTTTGCTTTTTCACCCAAGACAAGTGTAATTCTTCTGGGAATAAGTTAAAGGATCTGGGAATAAATTCAAGGATGAATCTGGGAGTAAATTCAAGGATGTTAAAGTATGTTACCAAATGCTGACTGCTGTAATTCCAGGTAGTCTATAGGAGATTTAACAACTAGAAAATGAGGGTTAAGGGCCAAGTAACATTTGAGTTGCCATAGTGTTCATGCTGGAAGAAAATTGACATTTTAATTTTAAAGTAGAGCCTCAATCTTTGGCCTACCTTTGTAAGCATCTTTTCGACTGCATCTAAACAATCTTTTTTATTATTATTATTACTATTTTTTTTTTTATTTTAAGAAATGAGTATTGATTCTGTCTTGTTCCCATAATTATGTATTTCATAATGCTTATCATCTCTGTAGATTGTAAATAAATAATATATATATATATTCCAGTTTCTAAATGTCAAACTTTTGTTGTTTAGGAATCCACTTTAAAATAAATATTCTTCTTTCAGTTGAACCAATCACCTAATTGTATGTCCACTGAGAAAGTTGCTATCTTCTGTGTCTTTTTGGGTAGTTTTTCCTGGGTTTTATCAAATGCTTCAAGTTTTGAGGTTGTTTCTTTGTTTGTTTGTTTTTAATGAAGTCAGCAGTTATCAGAACTGCTATTCTTTTAGAGGCAAAAAAGTAAACATGTTAATGAGAATTTCTAGTAATCATATTTCATTTATAAGAATACCCTAATGGGAGGGGGGGGGGGGAGGGGAAATCAACCCCGTTTCATTTATCTGCTTTTAGCCAGAGAAATTCATAAGCAAATAGTGTTGTTTTATTTTTCTTTTATTAATTCATTGTCAATGTAATATATACATGTATGTGTGTAAGACAATTGCTTGAAAGTGAGTATACAAATCATGATTAAGCATGATATTCAAGAAAGGAAAGTATTTTTCATTTATTTTCATTTAAATAGTGAAATCAGTAACTTTTACATATTGTTACTGTACTTCTTATTTACATCTACTTTATGGGTATGTCTGCCAGCATTGTACGCATATTTTGCACTGTTATTATTTAGTGTTACGAAAACCAGAGTTTCTCAAGTTAATGCATTGCTATATGTATTTTATCTCTGTAACTGTTGATAAATACAGGTAGTGCTTTTCTAATTGTACTCCAGCAGTACACTGGTGTTGGTAAACTAGATGCACAGTACATACCTGTCTCAGGATACCTGGATTTTTCATTAGGTTTTGAGGTCTAAAACAATACTGAACTCATATTTTTGTATGCTGACAATTGTTCTGTTGTTGGGTTTGTATATGTATATACATACACACACACACACACACACTGTATATATCCTTTAGTTTTCCTAAAGAAAATGCATTATTAGAAATGTTTCCTTTTTCTTGCTAAAAGATGTTCTCTCGTTATGTATGTGTAAATGAATATACAGTGTGCACAGTCATGCAGATGTTAACACCCATGGGAAATTTCAGATTGTCCAGAGGCCAGTCAAATACTTGTTTCTTCTCCAGACAGAGCTCCATGCTAGAAATCCTCTGTGGCTAGAGTGGAACAACTTTAAAAGTAATTTCTGCTTCACTTTGGAAGTTCAATGGAGTGTTCAAGCAAGTAGGACATTTTTGCAAAATACTTAAATAGGGACTTCTATGGGAACATCCACACTTTTCTATTTTTCTGTGTGCGTCCTGTTTGTACAATGGGTCAGACTTTGAAAACTAAGCAGCCTTATTAACTTTGTAACACCCTGTAAATAGTGTATGTATTTGGTTATACTTATGTAAGACAAAAACAAAAGAAAACAAAAAACTTAATTTTTGCATTAAGTATTGCACACATTTCTTCAAACAAAGAATATATTTGTAATGTTGCAACAAGCACAAGAGAGAGAGCATTATTGCTTTGAAATATTATATGTAAGTACATCCATACACAGAATCTCTCAGTGAACTTATGTTTGAAAACAGTCAAACTAGCAGTTCTTATGGGTAGTTGAATTTGTTGGAAGTAACCTTTGGAATTTAACTATCCTTGAAACATGGATTTAAAATACTTTTTCCTGTTTTGTAAAGTGCCTATGTAGCATACTTTGAGTCAATTGCTTTATTGATTATGGGTTAAACTAATACTGTGTACTTGTAGATCTTTATTTTTTAGTCTACATTTATTTTTTTAGTCTACATATTAAAGACTGGAATGGTAGCAATGTATTACAAAATGTCAAATGGCAATAAAATAATTCATAATATGGCCACTGCAAATTTCTTTATTTCTAAGCAAGTAAAAAGTTTGTTTGTTTGTTTGTTTTTGGTGGTCTTTAACCCCTTTGGTGTGAGTGCTCTTGGAATTCTCCTGCAGGAGAATAGAAATAAAACTTCTAGAAATATATGTTTATAATAACAGTCCAAGCCTAATCTAGGTTCATTGCTGACAACTGAAGTGTATCTTTACGACCCTGTAGAGAGCTGAAGCCTGCATGAGCAGTAGTCCCTGGCTTTGGGGAGCTGTATTTTGTGAAGGATGAGAGAAGGGAGACAGGTATGAAAAATATTTTTCTGGCCCAGTGGTTCCACCAAGATCCAAAGCAGCCACGGTTTCTGGGATTTACATGTGTCATGGTTTTACCTGTCAGGGAGCTCAGCACCACAAAGCTCTTCGGTCTCCCTGCCCCTGGTGGGATGGGGAGAGAACTCATGGGTTGAGATCAAGACAATTTAATAGGCAAGGAGGGAGGAATAAAAGGTCATGGTGCCCAACACAATTGCTCCCTACCAGACAACAAATGCCCTGTCAGTCCCTGAGCACTGGCAGCCCCCTGACAACTGCCCCCACTTTTATTGTTCTCCATATTCCGTCAGATGGTGTGGAACATCCCTTTGGTCACTGGGTCACCTGTCCTGGCTGTGTCGCCTCCCAGCTCCTGGTGCACCTCCAGTCTCCTCTCTGGCGGGACAGCACAAGCAGCTGAAAAGTCCTTCACTCTGTGTAAGCCCTGCTCTGCAACAACAAAAACATTGGTGTGTCAACATTATCCTCATCCTAAATCCAAAACAGCACCATTCCAGCTACTAGGAAGAAAATTAATCCTATCCCAGCCCAAACCAAGACAGGTCTGAGGACTGAAATAGTCACCATCGGTTTATGGCTGTGCACAAGGAAAACCTGACATGCATATCATCGAGTGTTGCCCTCCCTAGGCTAATTAAACACTTAAAAATGATTGATCCTTTAAATGGATTGGGAACTAGCTCCTAGCTACTATTAAAATCCTGGGGAGAGGTTAGGCTTCAAAAAATAAGAAAACTTAGGACAGGAGAAAAAAAATCTTTCCCTGTAACTCCCTGGGGGATGGAAGAACAGAATGTCAGAGAAGTATTAAGAAGCAGAAATGACCAGATGATTTCAAATATGGCCTACTTTTCTACCATCTTATACAAGTTTTTGTTGTTGTTGTTTTGTTTGTTTATTTCAGTGCTCCTCATTTCTGTGGTCTTCACCTGCCACCACGTCTACCTCAGAAATAAAATCCAATCATGAATTATGTTCATAGTCAGTGGGGATGGGCATAACTGAGACAGGTACCAGTTATGCTAGGGTAGCACTTGGGTATCCAGTAATTTCCCACATTTCATGTGAGAGTATTATTATCATGAGGTGAAAGGCTTTGAAAGTATCTGCAAAGGGGGACTTGCTATACTTCCATGTCAGAGGTCTGATGAGGCACAGTGTGAGTCACTTCAAAATATTTTTCAGCTAATCCTTGAAAGTTATTTCCTTTTAAATGTTACTCATAAACTCACTTTTACTATGAATTTAATTGTTATTGGAGTGGGAGTATTCCTGTGCCCCATTATGTCATGCACAAACAGGACAGATTATGCATGCACTTTGCTTATACTAACGAGGTGAAATTGCTAACAATTATTTCTTTCTTGTTTGTAGAAGTCTTAATTCTCTAAAACTGCTTTCTCAGATGCTATTTGATTTATTTATTTTTTTTTCCCACAAACATTTCTACACACAATTCCTTGGAATATCCTTGAAACCTGCACTAGGGGTAGCCTTATCTCTAGTCTCATCTTCTGATGTTTCTGCCAGGACTTTCTGGATGTACCCCACATGTGATTGAATATTTCAACTTCTCTAATGAGCCTTGGGCTGTTGTCAGAGCTTGTCATCACCTTGGCTCTGCCCAGGCTGGCTATCACACTGTAGTCACCCCCAGCTCTTGTCTCCTTCTCCCCCGAGGAGTAGCTCTGCTCTTGCTGCTCTCATGAGAACACCTGCTGCTGGTACAGGCTCTGCCACAGTTGGCATGCTGCTGCAGATTAGAGTGCTGCTGGGGGCCCATTCCAAAAAAAATGCCCATTTCTAGTCACAAGACTGGTGGGAAGCCTCTTCCACTGATTTTAGTATTGGGCCTAGGAGTAGTAGCGTCCAAAAATGATCTATAGCACAAATTTGATGAAAAGACTTGCAAATGCATCTCTAGAACCTGACAGGACAGAAAAGAAAAAGTTAGTGGCTGAGAAGTAATGCAAGATAGATAAATGCAGCGTCAATGATGTCAACAGAGCAATGAAATCTCCTGAATATTCAGCTTCATTTTTTTCCAAGTGTTTAGCACAGTTGATATGTTGCTGAACAACTGCATCCTTTATAGAAAACTCAATGTGAATTCTTACGATTGTGATTTACAGCCAGAAATTTTTATAGAAAGATCTACATTTAACTAGTCATGTTTTGTTCTTGTTGTTTAGATTTCTTTATCAGAGAAAGAGGGATTTTCCTTATGTAACGGGCTTTTTAACATCTGGGCTAAATAATTGGTGTCTTTCCTTGTGAAGCATAACAGCCTCTAAAAGTAGGAGGAAATTGTGCTGTATATATATTCTGGGAGCATAATCAAATATAAGGAACATGAATAGGTTTTGATTCTGCTTTCATTTAAATGAATAACCAAATTTTCATTGACTACAAAGAATGAATCCATAATACTTGGACTATTATGCCAGAACCTGACTAGCTTGAATGCTTGTTAGTGTGTTTAGATCACCTAATTAATGAAACTATTCATGTCTCAATACAGAAAGCTTGACTGGAAATGAGAAGCAGACCACGTGTGATCAATGTTTTTTTTTGTCATCAACCAGCCTTACAGTGGGTCTGATTAAACCAATAGAAACGAACATCAGTATTGTATTAACTAAAGTCATTGCATCATCACAAAAGTTATTGACAGTATCACACAGATTGAGAGAGAAATTCTGCCTGATTTTGATCAGTGCTGCTTCCTTGTACTGTAGTACTTTTCAGGATACACTGAGGGATAGTTGAATTCAATTTCAAGACAGAGTGAAACTTGAATGGGTGTTTAGCAATATACTAGATGCTGTTCTGAAATAGGGGAAATCATAAAGTTTTTATATGTTAAGAAATAAAGTAGGTGTTTGGAATTTTGACAGCACACCCTGGAAAACTGGTAGCTTGGGAAACACAGGGAAATAAGTATAATTGTGCCAATTTTAAAGTACATTTGTGGGCCCAATGCAAACAGAACAGATAGTAGGCTTTCATTTCTGGACTAGATCCCATGACTTTGAGTAAAACCATTAATATTTGAAACTGTAGCATGGGACTAAACTACAGTGTCTTTGGTTGTTCATCACACAACAGTCATGACAAGAAAGAGAGTCTCTTGTAGTCTTCATAATTAACTTTTAAGAACCACAAATTCCATATTTAATCATAGCTCTTATTTTCATTTGTAACATGGGAAATAACCAGTGTCTATACTGTCAGTTAAAAAACAATGTGTTAAACAGGAGTCTAAGACTTCCCCCCCCAACCCCCCTCTTTTCCCCCATCTCATTTACTAAACTTATTTGTTCATGACAGGTGAGGTGCCTATCAGAGGAACAGTGGAAGTTATGAGTCCAGTCACATCGATGTTTTGGGCATGTTGTGCTTTCAGAATCTCTCTTGAATGTTAGAGTTCACATGGAGCTTCCTCTACATGCACTTGGCCTTGTGGTGAACAGTCACGCAGAGGACCCTGAAGATGCAGGAGTGACAAAAATGCTTTTTGTGAAAATCGTGGGTAAAAATGCACACTGCTTCTGTTGGAATTGAGCTATGATCTAAATGATCATAGAAAAAAAAAAGTCAGTTGTGGAAGTTAGAATATCAGATTACTGATTGTTATGTACCTAATTGCTAGAAAAATAAAAACACACCTTCTGTACCAGTTAGAATAAAAGTGGAGCAACTTCTTATATCACATTTTAGGACAGTAATAATAAAGTTTGTAATGACAAGGGGATTAAAAAAAGAAAAAAGTGGAAATTTCTAGTTTGTCCCTATGTAACCTTAATATTTAAATTTGCTTTAGGACATATTAGATCAAAATAATGAGGGTTTATCCCTGATTACAGAGTTTCAGTGAAGTCCAGAACAGTACAAAAATTTCTACAAATAGAAAACTTGATCTAAACAGGGGAACTCATGCTACTGGTCTTCCACTCTCCAAGTCCTATTTCCTTATTTCCAAACACCAATAATCCCTGTGAATGCAACTCACAGCAGACTCAGTAGGGAGGCCAAAGAATAAAACAGCATGGAAAATGGACTCTGCTCATGTTCAAAGGAAAGAAAATCACAGGTGCCAAAGGCTTTTCAAATGTGCCGAGCCACAACAATTTTCTGTTTCATGCAGCATTGGGCTGATGTATTTCACTGAGCAGGTCTGCTGTTGCAGTACAGAAATTCAGGTTGTGCCAGATTGTTTCAAAGTTGTGATACACAGAAGCAGGTCTGTTCTGAATGAGGTGGGATGAAATGGAAGAAATGTGATTTCTCCGTTTGTTAAACTTGGTGTTTGGATTACATCCAGGACTATTCAAATATGCTGCACTGGGAAATAAGACTTTTTGTCAGTCTGAGTCTAAATGGTCAGTCTGCTGAAAAATATTCCGCTATCTGCATCCTGAAGTGACAGTGTGTAGTGTTTCAGCAACTGGATAGTAGCAGGAAGATGTGGGAGGACAGAACAGAGACAATGCCAAGGCTCCTCTGGCTTGTACCCTGTTAGCCCCCCAGCTCATTGTGTATAGCTTCAGCAGGAGGGATAGGGAACTGTTCCTCTTTTAGAGTACAGCCAGGCCACTAAGGTGGCCTTGGGATAACCAGGCAAAGGAGAATCAAATATTTATTCAGGACTAAAAATTTTGGATTGCCAGGCCAAAAACTCTT